CAGTCATCCATAGTGTCGAGTCAATTTCCTTAATGCTTTCTGAATATAGCTCTGACATCTGCTGTTTACATTCTGCGGAATAAGGTCAAATGCATTTTTAATGAGCTGGAGAAAAGAAATTATCTCATTTTTGAAAAATTCAACAAGATTGCCTACCCTCATGCCGTTCATTTTGACCACCATTCTGACAAGAATCGACGACAGATATACTGTTTACGTTGTAAACTCCGAAGGAGTTATTGTTTATTTTGTTCTTGTTTATTTTATATAAAAGTGGTATACACTGAACTGCTATCTGAATATCTATTGAACTGATGTCTAATAAATGATATACAAAATACATGCGAACACAAATGATATCTGTTGAACTCATCGCACCTGTTCTGAAACAGAAGTGGAAATAGGGACTGTATTTTAGCAGCAAATGCTCTTCATCTGAACTGGCAGTAAGTGACTACACGTTTCATCATTTTCACGGCAGCAAGTGTATCATCAAATATATCCGACGCATTCTGCTGACAAATCATTTTTTCACTTTCCCATCACGTAAGCGAGCGAAATCGTCTGCGGTGTAGAATCTCGGTGCAGGACAAGGCCAGAATTTGCTGTTGTCATAGGTGAACGCTGATCTCATTTGATGATGCTTCAGAAGAGCAACTTCGTTGATATCCAAAACTGGTGTCACGCAAGCGTCCACTCCTAAACTTCAATTCTGCATTCACCGAGTGTTTAGAAAGCTTCAGTTTGAGATCCAGGTGCATTCACTTTAAAAATATAAAAACAATTGCACGACACTACAGTAAATTCAGGAATTATTGATTTCAGCAATAAAATAACCATTGAATAAATTTGTCCATTCCCTTCTCGTCCTTGTTCGGAAGGTGGTTTCCATCTCATTGCTGACAACTTCAGGCCTTTCTTCCAAATCACTCAATTTTGATTTCAACTGAAGTGCTGTAAAAGATGTTCAAAATGCAGGAAACAAGTTTTCTATGAAACAGCTCATTGAAATTTTTACGAAAACTTTCTTTTCGTGGATCATTCAGCTGTCTTGAAGAAAAAATAATAAGTCGCATTCCATTCGGTTCTGTCTGATTCGACGAGCTAGTGAAACTTTGTTTTGAACTTGTCTAGATGAGAGTGTTTCTATTCAATTCGTTCGAAAATTAGGTTGTTACCACTAATTTCGTGTTTTATGTGACAACATTATGAGATTTTCGTTCAGCTGAATGGAGAAAAAACAAGCGTACTCACTTTTGAAAAGTGTTTCTGCGAACTTCTTTTCAATCGCCCCAACGGCCACATATTTGTCGTCAAGTGTTTGATAGGTGCTGAAATTTCAATGTTCTCGCATCTCAAGTAGTGTTTCCACAGACCCTCGAGATCCGGATATTCCGGATTCAATCCCGGGATGTATGTTCTTAAAACATCCAGGACATCGGGATCTGATAAGTTACAGTATTTTATACAATTTTGGTACTGCACATGGTGAATTACACATTATCTATTCCCAGTTCATTCGTATTCAGTAATATTTGTCGCTTACCAATGAATGAGGGAATCAGTGGCTAGATAATCAAAAATCAGCATCATCTCATTGTCAGATGTGTTTTTTTTAGGGAGCAGTGAACAAAAATTTGCAATGTTACCACTATTGCTTCGTGTTTCGGCATCACCGGTGCTTTTTTTTCGTTTATGATCATTTTTCAATGTCAGCATGGGAAAAGAATACCGTAATTGAAAAATGGTCGGGATTTTGCAAGCATTAATCAGAAGCAAGATGTGAACATGAAATTTTCTCAGAATCAAAGAAATTTTCGGGTGTAATCATGCAAAGTTTCCAGCATTGGGAACGATGCTTCGTGTCGTGCGAACTCATTTGGATATATCGAGTAAAATTTGCATCATTTGCCTTCTAGCTAATTCGTTACTCTGAAAATGGTTATATATCCGTCGAACATGAACTTGTTTAGCGTCTATCAAAACGAACCGATAAATTGGTGATTTGCCCGAGAACCATGCATACGGATCATTGCACATCTTGTCGATGTCTTGATAGGCAGTGATGAATGTCGACAGATACGCAACACTCTCCACCATACTCACATCGATTATACAGCCGGAGCCACCTGAGACACAAAAGCAACATGTGAACGATTGAGGAGGCATTAAATGACTGATTTGTCAATAAAGGATTATTATGCATCACGGACTCTCTGTTGTCATAAACTGACAAGGGAAGGTCACGAACTTACCCCAACGTTTCGGGGTGAGA